TTTTGCTTGGGTATTTTATGTACACCCAAACCTACTCATAGCTTTTGCTTGTGTAACTTTTTCTTGGGTATTTATGTACGCCCAAACTTGCTCACAGCTTTTGGTTGTGTAACTTTTGCTTGGGTATTTATGTACACCCAAACTTGGTCACAGTTTTTGTTTGTGTAACTTTTGCTTGGGTGTTTTATATACACCCAAACTTGCTCACAACTTCTGCTTGCCTGTGTAACTTTTGCTTGGGTATTTTATGTACACCCAAACTTGCTCACAGCTTTTTTCTTGTGTAACTTTTGCTTGAGTATTTTATTTACACCCAAACTTGCTCACAACTTCTGCTTTCTTGTGTAACTTCTACTTAGGTATTTATGTACACCTAAACTTGCTCACAACTTTTGCTTGTGTAGCTTCTGCTTAGGTATTTAATGTACACCCAAACTTGCTCACAATTTTTGCTTGTGTAACTTTTGCTTGGGTATTTATGTACCCCCAAACTAGCTCACAGCTTTTGTTTGTGTAACTTTTGCTTGAGTATTTTATATACACCCAAACTTGCTCACAGCTTCTGCTTGCCTGTGTAACTTTTGCTTGGGTATTTTATGTACACCCAAACTTGCTCACAACTTTTTGCTTGTGTAACTTTTGCTTGGGTATTTTATTTACACCCAAACTTGCTCATAGCTTCTGCTTGCCTATGTAACTTTTGCTTGGGTATTTTATGTACACCCAAACTTGCTCACAACTTTTTGTTTGTGTAACTTTTGCTTGGGTATTTAATGTACACCCAAACTTGCTCACAACTTCTGCTTGCCTGTGTAACTTTTGCTTGGGTATTTTATGTACACCCAAACTTGCTCATAGCTTCTACTTGTGTGACTTCTGCTTGGGTATTTAATGTACACCCAAACTTGCTCACAGCTTCTGCTTGCCTATGTAACTTTTGCTTGGGTATTTTATGTACACCCAAACTTGCTCACAACTTTTGCTTATGTAACTTCTGCTTGGGTATTTAATGTACACCCAAACTTACTTGCAGCTTTCATTTGCATATTATATCATCTTAAGATTTTCTTCTGCGCAGGTTTAGAGTAGAAACAAGTTATATAGATTTTGCTATCTTAATTACTTTAGAGACATGAGAAAATTGTTAATGCTTTCAAGATTTGATAAATTTATGAAAATAATTATTTAAATATTGTAAAAAGATATGAAACTAATCTGGGAAGTTGTTAAATTGTTCTTGCACAGCTTCATTATGGAATCTTGCTATGTAGGCTCTTAGTGACTCTTTTGTCTTCTGTTTGATTGTTAGGAGATGATGGTTGGTCTTTTGAGGAGCTCAAGTCTGCGCAACTTTCTTGAAAGTTTCTGGAAATTGCTTGCATAATAGAGCATTCAAGGCTCCATATACCATCATTGCCGTTCTATATCCTTACACGTGCTCCATTGGGTCTTGAGTTCCATCGTATTTAGCTAGCTCTGCTTGCCTGCTTCTATTTTTGCCAGATGTTGTCGCAATGCTTCAATTTCTTTGTAAATACCATCATCATGAACCTGTGTTTCTGCCTTTTGTGGTTCTGTTGCGACAAATGTAGCCTTATGGACTTGCTAGCTGTCCCTTCTTTGGCTTGAATGTGTGCGAGGTATCACATTTTTGCTTCGAAAATTGTATTGAGTGAAAGCTGAGGATGGTTGCAGACTCGTTTCAATTGTCAATTCTGTTGGTTTTGAAGGTACGTAACTTTCATCTTGATTGCTGTTTTCTTTTGTTGAATCTTGCTCCTTCCCCTCTAATGTCTTGGCATCACTTTGTGACAAGCGCTCATGCCTTACTTCTTGCGATGACATGTTAGCAGTTTTTATCATGGATGCTATGGCTTGCTCAATTGCTTTTAAACTTTGCCTTGTCTCCTCCATGTCTTGTGTAAGTTTCTGCATTTGTGATGCCATGGTTGAATCTGATGGTTTTGTTTTATTAATAGTATTTCTTGGGTTTGTTCTTGATGACGAAGAGTCACTCATTTTGTCCTCACTTCTGAAGCTCAGAATACTTCTACGAGGTCGTGATGAATTTTCTGAATTTTCCATTTTCTGAATTTTCCATGTGGTATTCGTGGATTGAAAAGTGTCAAGCCCCACGGTGGGCGCCAAATGTTAACAATAAAAAATAGGATAGATGGTGTGGAACCAAGATCTTTGTTGATAGAGAGAGTTTACAATGAAGAGAGAATGATGATGATAAATCATTTACCTCCTTAGGTTGATCCTAGAGGTATTTATAAGATGTTTAAATACAGTTATTCTAGAAATAAAATTTTATTTAATTAGTGTTTGGGGTATTCTTATTCTAGTGAGATGTATCCTAGTTAACTTTGATAAGACTATTTCTAGAATGTCTCAACGTGTCCTAATTCTTATGGGACTTGATTTAGAGTATAACATATATGTTATTACTTAGTATCTAACTTGTAGTTTCACAAAAAAATCATTATTACAAAATATTAATATATAAATTAATAAGCTAAGATGTTTAAAAAATTCGCTTACCAAATTCAAGTTATTTGTATGGTATAACCCTTTGTTTGAGGACAAAACAGCACGTGGCACAAATCTTCAATAATTAAGTTGCATTATGATGCTGTTGACTAGAAAAGGTAATATTATGATTGTTATGTTAAATAAATAAAGATATTTAAAAAAAATAAAATTATATTATTTATAAATAGGTAGTGTTTTTTTGCATCAAAAAATAAAATTGATCATTCTCCTATAATTTAATACACATATTTAAAATAATTATAAAAGAAATAATTTTTTTTATTCTTTTCATTAAATATCATCTAAAGAAAATTGAAAAGTGAAACATAAAATACAAAAAAGTTTTAACAAGCTAACTATTAAATAATATTTGAATGGAATTAAGTGAAAATCAATAGATATAATTTAATAATTTCTTAAATAAATATCTAATTTTTCTAAAATTTATGGTACTGCTTATATTTTGCAAAATATAAGGACCTATTTAATCAATTTTTGAAAGACTAGGGGGGCTGTGTCCCACTATGGTCTCCAAGTGGCAGCGCCACCGCTTGTAAACAAATCACTCTCCATAATCATATCACTACATTCAAAATCTTTGCCGAATTGAATAGTTAAACATGTGAAATAAAGGGACATATCCCAAGTTTTAATTTGCCTTAAACGAAATAATTTCACATTTGCCATCAACGTGAATCATGTGATTTTTTTTAAATTAATTTTTAATATCCAAAAATCACATTAAATTTTGACTGATTTAGAATTAAGTCGCTTCAAGTAAGGAAGCGTTTCCAATACTTATTTTCTATTCACAAAATTTGAACTCAAAATTTTACTTAAAATAATCAAGTTTCTTTTATTCGAATCAATAGGTCGTTAGTAACATAAATAACGTGATTCAATCAAATTGAGCACTACTATATAAATAGCGTAGCACACACTAGTAGAGGCCACATTGGTAGATGATAAGCTGAGATGGATCTAGACAATAATGGAGAGCAATACACTGAGTTGCTTCAAGCTCAAGCTCATGTATGGAACCACATCTTCAACTTCATAAACACCATGTCTCTAAAATGTGCTGTTGATTTGGGCATCCCAGATATCATCCACAACCATGGCCATCCAATGACTATCACTGAGCTTGTTGCTGTACTACCAATCAATGCAGTTAAAGCTCCCTTCGTCCACCGCCTCATGCGCATTCTAGTTCACTCTGGCTTCTTCACATGTCAAAAGCTAGGGAAGAACAACCGAGAAGATAGCTATTTTCTCACCCATTCCTCTCGCCTCCTCTTGAAGAATGAACCCATGAGTGCAACCCCTTTCTTAAATGCAATGCTAGAGCCCATTTTGACTAAGCCATGGTATCATTTAGCCTCTTGGCTCCAAAATGACAATAATGTTAATGCTTTCGCCACAAAACATGGAACCACCTTTTGGGAATGTGCTAGTGGTGAGCCAAAGTGTAGCCACTTCTTCAATAATGCAATGGCTAGCGATTCTCGATTGGTTAGTAGAGTGCTGATTGACAACCACAGAAATGTCTTCGAGGGACTGAGCTCGTTAGTGGATGTTGGAGGAGGGACAGGAACCCTGGCCAATGCTGTTGCTAATGCATTTCCACACTTGGACTGCATTGTGTTCGATCTTCCTCATGTTGTGGCAGGCCTAAAAGGTAGGAAAAACTTGAAGTATGTCGCAGGAGACATGTTCAGTGAAATTCCACCAGCAGATGCAGTGTTACTAAAGGTATGTGTATTAAATGCCAAAAATCTTCAAATCGTCAAAAGCCAAAAACTATATATAATTTCGTTGTTTTTGCTCAATTCAACATGTATTTGTTTTATGACAGTGGATTTTGCATGATTGGAGTGATGAAGAATGTTTGAAAATTCTTGAGCGTTGCAAAGAGGCAATAAAGAAGAATGGGAAAGGTACTGGGAAAGTGATCATAGTAGATATGGTGAGGAAGGATGAGGGAGATGAGGAGTCGATTGAAACACAACTTTTCTTCGACATGCTGATGATGGTAGTGACTACAGGAAAGGAGAGGAATGAGGAAGAATTGGCTAAACTTTTTTCTGAAGCTGGATTCAGTGGCTATAAATTACTTCCCATATTGGGTGTAAGGTCTCTCATTGAGGTTTATCCTTAAAAAGCATTGTGTTTTGATCCTATTTTCAAGCCCCAAATTGCAATAATTCCATGCTTGCACACAGTGGCATAGTCAGGATTTGTAA